CCCCCCCCAAGAGCAGGAAAGCCCCAAGAACAACCCTGAGAGCAGTGGGAAAAGGGGCAGCTTAGGGGTGAGCAAACCCAGAACCCAGAGCTCTGGCTTGGCAGGGCAAATTCCTGTCCAGCAGGACGGGGCAAAGGCCCTGCCACAGTCCAGTGCTTCCTGAACTGTCGTCCCCAGCCCCAGCACGTGGCACAGTGACAAGGGGCAACGGCTGCCAGAGTCCTTTGGAGCTGGCCCCATCCCCAGCTGTGCCTGGGAGGTTTGCACATGAACTGAGCCCCAACGTGCCTGGGAAACACAACCTGCCTTGGCTTTACCCACTGTTCACAGCCGAGCTTGGCCCCGCAGCTGACTGCTGCCTGGGAACTTGGGTATGGGGAAGGAGGTGCAGGCTGGGCTGCACCTCCCCAGTCTGCCAAGCCCCTGAGGGCCCCACACCCCACATTTGGGGAGGAGGGGGAAGGGGGATGCACCCTGAGCCATTCCTCCACACAGGCTTGGCTACTCCCTTTCATTCTCCAGCCAAAGCCTGGCGGCGATGCCAAGCCAACACTATAAATCCTGCTTTGGAAACGCACTTTTCAGCAAGATGGTGATTTGCCAACAACCTCTCAGCCCCACTCTCTGCCTGTCCCTGGAGGCTGCTGGGTGCCAGCAAAGCCTGAGGGGAATGGGGAAGCAGGCAGTGCCAGCCCCTGCCTGGCTGGAAGATGGGAAGGTTGCCCGTGGCTGCCTGCAGGCACAGCCAACAGCACACAGACACCAAGAAAGCAGCCCAGGCGCCGGGAACACCCACACACCCACTTTAATCCCGGCCCCGAGGTGGCTTGGAGGCAGCTCAGAGCAGGGGGATGCGGGAGGGTTCCCAGAGGCGCCGGGCCAAGTCGGAGGCCTGCTGGACCATGAGCTCAGAGGGGATGATGCCCAGGTGCACGGTCAGCAGCTCATAGCACTTCACCACCTCTGCCTGGTGGTTCTTGCTGTAGTAACGCAGCAGCTTCCTGGGGAACAGAAGGCAGGGGGCTCGGCAGGCACAGCACAGACCAGCACCCTCTTTCTAACGACCTTCCCCCTAGAAAGTCCCTGTCAAGGACACAGAACCCATCCACTGGCAAGACCAGGCACCAGGCTGGGGAGAAGTGCTGGTGCAACCCCAGTGACACCACAGCACTGGTACCACCCTGCAGTGACATACCAGCGAGGACAGCATCACTCACAGGGACCCCTGTGCCAGCACAGCCCCAGGCCCTGGTGATAACCTGCAGAGCTGGGGACTGCTCACCTGTAGTAGTCTCCTGCCAGCATCCCAATGGGAGCAGAATCATCAGAGAGAACCGGCACCTCCATCACCTCCAGCTTGTAACCCTGGGGAGTGATGACAGCAGAGGGCATGAGCAAGGAAGGGACTGCCAAGGAGCTGGAGCTGGCTATACCTCCAGCCCTGCTCCCTGCCCCAAGTAGGTGCCAGGGGAGAGGGGTTCAGCCCCTTCCTGGCCCCACATACCAGCTCATTCTCAAACCAGAGGAAGTAGGAGCAGCAGTAGTCGCCATCCTGCAGCATGAGCGTTGTGTAGCCCTTCTGTAGGTATCGCCGGGCCAATGTGATCAGGGACCAGACCTGAGGGACATGGGACACCTGAAGCCTGAGCAGAAAACCCTGCAACCATCACCGCCTCCTGTGGTCCTCATCGCACACCTATTCCCATGAGCAGTACCTTCCTCTTGATGAAGGTGGCCAAGGGTCCCTTGCCCAGCTCTGAGCTGGACTTCTCTGTCATGCTGAGCGATGGTGCCATCATCTGCCCGGCCGTGCGGTCCACATAGATGAAGTGCACCAGGCCAGGAAAGTCCTCCAGGTATGTGTGGTGGGTTAAGGGTGTCCAACAACTCTGGTGCCCTTCCAGGACAGCCCTTGAACCTTGGGGAAACCTCCTTTGCCCACCACACTTCTCCCCTTGAGCCCGGTGCTGCAGGGACGGGGTCCCACTCCCACCTCTGCTACCCCCTTTGGAACCCCTCCTCATTGGGATGGGTTCCCAGCCGCAGGGACGGGTATGACACCATGGTGATATTGCGCCTGCTCTTCACCAGCAGAAAGTCCCGCCAGTCCAGCAGCTTCTCCCTGACAAGAAGAGGCATGGTGAGAGGCCAGGACCCCCCCAAGCCCCAGCATAGCTGGGTATGAGGCAGCCCCCCAGGGATGCCAGCCACACCCATGCACTCACCTCATCAGCTTCTGGGCACGGTCCCGCAGCCCCTGGGACAGGCTGTGGCCAGTGGAGGCCAGGAAGAGCTGGCGGTACACAGAGCAGAGCTGCCGCTTCACGTTGGCCACTGCCTGCAGCAGCCTGAGCCAGGAGACACAGATGGTGCTGAGTTTGGCCCCTGGATCCCTCCTATAGCTGTGCCACCCCCAGGCTGGGAAAGGTCCCCACCTGCCCTGGAGACTTTCCCTGACCACCCTATACTCACTCCAGGGAGCTCCCAGGCTCGCTCCGTGAAAATATCTTGTTCTTGAAGTCCATCCATGTGTTCTGCAACTAGAGACAAGGGCTCAGGGTCAGGCTGTGGGGACAGCAAGACAGGGTCCTTTGCATCCCCACTCCCACCTGGATGTCCTGCCCACTCAGCTTCTTCACAAACTTATCCATGCGCTGTCGCAGCTCGACCAGGAATGGGTAGGAGCGTGGGGCTCCAATCTCTGGCCCCTCTTCTAGCTTCCTCTCCAGTAACAAGAAACCATCCAGCAGCTGGTACAAGGTGACAGCCACCTGGGTCATGGGACCCTGCCAGGGAGGGGAGAGGTGTGTCAGCCAGAGCCAGCTCAGCATTGCTTCCCTCATCTTAGAGGCAGCTCACCTTGGTCAGGAGGACGAGGCAGATTCCCGGCCAGAGCGGGAGGCAGTGCATGGTGTGCGGCAACAAGGGGCAGTAACCTTCCCTCAAGTTGGCATCCAGGAAGATCCTTCTGGGGTTTGAAGCTTCAGGAACAAGAGGCTCCAAGGTCTGGAGCAAGTCCTCTGCCATCTGGGGAGGGAGGGGAGATGCTCAGCCCCCTGTGGGGGTGACAACCCGCACCAACCCAGGACAATCTGGAAGAACACAGCAATGCCCTGAAAACTGAAACCAGGCATGACATATCCAAGGGAGCTGGAGAGGCTATGTGGCAAAAAGATTAGCAGTGAGGGAAGCGCCCAGGGACCCCAAAATAGCAGCAAGTAAAGGAGAAGCTGTTTGCAAAGACATGGTTTGCAAACACCTTACATGTAGGCTAGCAGTTGCTTGCAGAGAGTGTGTGAGGCTCTGCAGTATCTGTCAGGGAAGCAGCCCAGAAAGCCCAGAGGCAGCAGAGGGAGACACCAGACTGCTCTGAGGCAGCCCCAGCCCCTCTGTGCTGACAGCTCTGGACAGGGAGACCATAAGCAGTGCCTCTGAGAGGGCAATCAGGGCTGTGACAGTTATGCACAACATGGGGGATGCAGGGCACACCCCCAGCCCTAGATCCTGGGGTACCCACAGCTGCAGCACAGCAAGGGACAAGTGAAAAGAACCAGAGACCACAAAGAGCACCAGGACAGGCTGAGGTGTGGAGCCAGGAGGGACTGCAGGAACCCCTGCTCACCTGGACATCTGCAGCGTCTGCCTCCTCGGTGCCCAGCATCTCAGCGCCCTCCAACCAGCTCTCGCTGCCTGCAGGGAGCATGGCAGGTCATTGTCTCTCCCCACCAGCCCCCCATGCAGCCCCGGAGCCTCTGGAGGGCTCGGGGGCATGGGCAGGGCTGCTGCCTGGCTGGGCACTAACCTGTGCTGTGCCCGCCCGGAGAGGGCTCAGGTGTGTAGTAAACCTCGGGCACAGAGAGATCGTCTGTGTCCTGCCAGTGAGAACGGCTGGGTCAGCGATGGGAGCGATGCAGACAGCCCAGCCAGCGTCCCACCCTGCAGCTCCTGATCCTGGGGACTCACCTGATCATCTGAGTCCTTCTCTGCAGCTCCGTAGGAGCCAGGACTGCTCACAGGGATGCTCTCGCTTCTCTTGGGTCCTTGCGGGAGCACCTTCCCTACCACAGGCTGCCGAGAAGAGGGAAAAAATATTAAGCCCTGGCCATCAGGGCATCACCTCACTGGGAAACTCCGACCTACTGCCCCCCCCGCCCAGCCTGCTCTGGAGCACCTGGAGGCCGAGCTCCTCCTCAGTGCTCTGGCTGGGGTACAGGTCCTGCACCAGGAGGATGAGGATGAGCAGGTCGGAAGGGCGGATGGAGCTGGCGTTGCGGCTGCGGGCCAGAGAAAGGAAGGGTCAGCCAGGAGGGCAAGTGGCTGCCCTGGGGAAGGTAGTGGGGCTGGGGCCGGGCGCACCTGGAGTAGAAGGCCAGCAGCTTGGTGTGCACCAGGAGGAAGGCATGGCCCACCTCGTCTCCCCCACGCTCAGGGCTGGCGTTGATGTACTGCACCACCTGCCGCTCCAGGAACTCGATGCACTGCTCACACAGCTGAGGGTGGATCAGCCGCTCCACGGCCTGGGGTGCAGGTAGGGGGAAGGCTGCTGAGCTCCCCCAGACCCAGCCACACAGCACCGGGGGCAGGTCTGAGCTTCTACTGCTCCAGGGAGCTGCCCCAGAGTCCCCAGCCCAGAGCCTTTCCCCACATCCCAGGACTCCATGCAACCTCACACCCCCAAGACACCCCAAAGGCGAGGGACACCCTGGGGCATGGTACCTCCACCGCAAAGCTCTGGTCCTCCTCCCGTAGACGGCTGTAGGTCTCCAGCAGACCCCGCAGCAGGCTCCAGACACGCTCCCGCTGCTCCGAATCAGCCGGCCGCAACCTGCAATGGCCACAGAGTGTGAGCTGAGAGCCGGCCAACACCTCCCCGGGTGGGATGGGAACCCTAAAACCCAGCTGCAGGCCAGCAGGCAGGGGGTCCTGCCGCAAAGGGGAGTCCCAGCTTGCAAACACCCACTCCCACCCCCCTGGGGCTGCATGAAGGCCCAGCTTGGCAGCTGCCCCGGCACCCTGGCATGCCAGCCCGTGCCGGTAAGCCGTGTCCACTCACTCCTTGCGGACGAGGTGGGAGTCGAGCGTGACGAGGCCACAGTGAGCCTCCACCAAGTGCCGCAGCACGAACAGCGTCCGGCGCAGGTCGTCCTCGCTCTCCGTCCCATCGCCGTTGACTGCGATGTACAGGCAATCCCCGAACTGCAAGCAGCAGCAGGGTCAGGTGGGGGGAGCCGGGGCGCCCCAGTCCCCAGTGCCGGTGCCGGCCCTACCATGTGCAGCACGTGGAGGTGCCGCCCGCGCTCGGTCGCGAAGCAGGTGTAGGTGTCGGCGAGCTTCTCCAGCAGTGCCGCGCAGGAGATGATGAGGGGCGCGAAGAGGGTGTTGAGGCTGTCCTCCAGCGCCGGGCCCTGGGGCACACGCTCCCGGCTCAGCGCCCACGCGTGACCGCGCCCCACGC